ATACAGGAAGTTACTAGAATGCCCCTGATTAGTGATGGGACACCCAGACAACTTAAAACATTAAACAGGATTAGGCCCATTAACAAAGGCCCAGTACAGGACAACTTAAACTTAAGTATAGGCTAATAAGAACTCTTATCAGCCAAATACTCATACATACAAAGACTTCAATCCAACAATAGGTAGGGAAAGGTAGGCTGTTTGGTTTGTACAGGTTTCCTTACCTTTCCCTTCCTTCCCTACTTTTTCCTTCTAACCAAGCACAGCTTTAGGGTGCAAGTGGGACTTATCTGTAAAGTGTGAAGCACAAGGCTGATGGGTCTATAGCGAGGTATAATGTCTGGTTGGTAGACAAAGGGTTTATGCCCAAATGTATGGTGTTGATTATACAAAGATATTTGCACCAGTAGTGAAGATGAACTCCATATAGATTCCCTAGTCTTTGGTTACTAATCTAGTGTGGTATCTTCATCACATTGACATTACAAATCCTTTCTAAATGGAGATCTAGTTGATAAATTATATTGTACAGCCCCTGGTTTTGAGGACGGTGAGGGGATGGTTTACCACTTGAAAAAAAAAAAAAAAATCATTTTTGTGTTAAGCAGTCACCAGGGACCTGGTTTAGCAGGCTTAACAAAGTTATCTAGCAGAAGGGGCTTAAACAATGTCAGATCAATCATACCATGTTTGTAAGAAAGGGTTGGAAAATTTGCAGTCACAGTTAATGCTTTTATTTCTTGATGTGGGTGGTATAGGAATTACAGTATTTTCATAAACAGGGTCAGGACATGTAATGTTCTGCTATTACAAAGGGTCTGAATGACTACGAGAGAAATTAATCATCTCAATTGGAAGACCTCTTTTCTTCCCTTTCTCTTCCTCTATTCTCTTTCCTTTTTCTCTTTTTATTTTCTTTGTTTGCTATCTGCATACCATTAAAGATTTCTACACTTTCCTCTCTCTCATTCTCCATGGCTGCAAACAAGCTCTTCTCTAAATTTGGGAAGTCCTTTAAGCTTCATGGAGCTTATTTTTGGTAGGTTTGTTTCTTGGTTTCTAATTCATAGGCTTTATATCTTGGTAGCCTTAAATTTAACGTGTCAACATGCCCCTTTTGATTTGGTGTTATTAGAAAGGTTGGTCAAATAATATCTAAGATCCCAAAATCTTGAAAATCTAACATAAATTCTGGGCGTGTTGTTACTAAATAACTGAATAATATCATTAATAATTTCTATAGAAGTCTCTTGATTGTGAAGCATTGTCCGAGACTACATGTCAAACTATAGAAAAGATTAAGGAGGTTGAACAGTGTAATGGAGATAGGTAAATTATTTTAATTCTGAATAAAGTCTGTCATTCCTACAATTGAAGTGTTTTCCAGAAAGTCCAAAAAGGTTGGTCAGGGTATTAACCAAAGGTATGAGCACTTGTCAATGGTTTAGGTTTTGCTAACCTAGCTATCTTAATAAAAGTTCAATTCATGGTTGTACCCCAACTAAAATTGTTCATTATGGTATTGCTATTTCAATATGAGATTCTTAATGTTTGATGTTTTTCCTGTTTTAATTTTCAGATGGGATCCAAGTTTAAGAGAGCCTTGATTGCAGAGAGAGTTAGAGAGTCCCTTCATAGCTGGTGTAAGAGAGTGAAGGAGAAATCCAAGCATGATTCTTTGCATTCTCGTCCCGGAACAGCACGATCTACATGTTCTCTTGAATCAGCTATAGATGAGAGGGATGAAATAACAGTTGCCTCTGGAACTTTATCTCGGTGCTCTTCTGCAGCCTCACTAAATCAGCTCACCATAACATCTGTAGATGAGCTGCCTATAACATCTGCAGATGAAATAGTTTTCAACAGCTCTGATGAGCCCCAATATGACCAATCTTTCCGTGCTTCAAACCATTCATCTAGATTCCGAAGTAATGAATTATCACAGCCTCCATCATATGGCATAGATGATATCTCCAGTCAAGAGCTAGGTAAGGTTTATACTCTTCTAGAGTTGTTTCGGAAGACCTGACAGATTTAGGTGCTATTTGGATAGACTTTTATGCTTTTGAAATTCAAAGTAGCATGCATTTTTGCTTTTACTGTGTGTATCTTCTGCTGTGAAATGGATTGTGCAAAATGTATTTTCACAGCATGCTTTTTGTACTAGAAAGAAAAATTGGCCATGCGTTTGGGTACAGTAACAAACTTTCGTAGTTTGACATCAGAGCATACATATGCCAAACATTCTGTGCTTCTTTGTTTTGGACTCCCCTTGGAAAACAGTCATCGAATAGAACCAGGGGTGATTCTACATCTCTCTCTCTCTCTCTCTCTCTCTCTCTCTAAGTTAATGAACTTCATACAACGACCAATCAGCATCAATAATATACAAATCTCTCTCTCCAATGACCAGTAATGGGGAACAATAACATACAAATTTGTCTCTGAAATACTTATGGAGTATTTATGTTTACATTGTGAGGCACTACATCGCAAGTAAACTTACTGCATCAGAACGTTATGGTCCAAGCAAACTATCCTTGCTAGATTGTTATTTTCATAACCAAGGTCTAACCATGTGAGTGATTTTGTGGACAATACTAGGCTCCTACCACGTTGGGAAGACGTGTTTTTATCACCTCCAGATTTTTACATCTAAACCCTAAATCCTTAACTCTAAACTCTAAAGTCTAAACATTAAACCCTTAAACCCTAAATCCTAAGCTCCTAAGCCCTAACTTTAAATCTTAAACCCTAAAACCTTAAAATCTAAACTATAAATCCTAACACTTAATCTTAAACCCTAGACCCTAAAATTTAAACTCTAAACCCTTAAGTCCTAAACAATAAACCCCTAAACTCCCCTAAAACTTAAAATTAGTGTGTAAAATGGCAATGGTAGAACACGTCCACCATAGCAACTGCACTGTAAAAAAAATGTATTGTTTTTGCTGGCATGACAGTTTTTTTTTCAGGAATGTGTATGGGGTGCGGGGTGTTGGACAATTTGATCGGCTTCCAATTAAAAACGGTAACCAACCGGTATTCATGCATGTGCATCAAAAGTTTGTTTGTGGACACCCTTTGTTAGGACCTCCCCTCTATTACCATTTACCAAACTGTCAATAACTATTTGCTTGTGGCTTAGTGTGCAGGTTAAATATTTGGGTAAATGGCTAAAACTTCCCTGAAGTTTGGTAATTACAATCACCTCCCCTAAACTTTCTAGCATAGTTGCAAGTAGACACCCTTTGTTAGATTCCTCTAAAAGAGGCATGAAAATGTCCAAAACGCCCATGCAGTTACTTTTGACCAAAATGTTTATTTTCTAAATTTTCACTTCATATATAATTCGCCCAAACCCTTTCTATCTCTTTTTTGAAATAGATTTATTTTTCAAAATTTCCCTTCATATCAATCACTCAAAGGTAAAGCTGCAACTTTAAATTCTATTTTTTTTTTGTTGTTTATAAAGTTTGTGTTTGTGTTTGTGTTTTTTTTTCTTTTTTGTAGAAACCAGCCTCAATAGTAATTGCATGGGTCTTTTGGACATTTTTGCACCTTTTATTATAGGATTCTAATTGAAGGAGGTCTACTTGCAACTGTCAAAAAGTTTATGGAAGGTGATTGCAATTACAAAACTTTAGGGGAGGTTTCAGCAATGATTATAGACTTTAGGGGAGGTTTCAGCACTTTACCCTATTTTTTTTTTTGAAAATAAAATCCGAATTTACCCTTTTCGTCCATCTGACATTAATTTAATTTCTTGTGTTGTACTTATATGGGCAAAAAACTACTTCAACCAAGAACACTCACCTTCTAATGGAGATTTTAGTTGCCAGTGTCAAGTTCATTGCTGCAACTCATGGTTTAGCAACTTGTAAGAGAAAGAAAAAAAGAAAACTTTGATGTTTATAATATTGGAGTTATTGCAAACTATCAAATCTTTTCCCAAAATTGTCTTTCTAGCATAGTTGCCAAAGTGACACCTAGGTGGGCGCCTAGGCGACACCTAGGTATCTAGTCGCCTTTTGGGGCTCGCCTCACCCAAACCCCAAGTGGTTTATATACCACTTATACAAAGTTATACAATGTTTCATATGTTTTTATATTTTTAGCATATAGTATTAATATAGGCATGATAGACTATCATTTTATTATTTCTTTCACTAAATAATATCTTTTATAGTTAGCTTCTTGTTTTGTTATGGTTCTGAGTGAAAGGAAGGTAAGAACCGAGGAAAACTAACAGAGTTTGAATGATGTAGTGTTCAAAGTCTTAGGCAAGGAACACCAACCAATCACAGAATCCAGGAGGTATGCTCTTCATCTCCTCATCCTTTGTCTTCCCTCCTCCTTTTGGAACAAAAACAAGGGCTCCTCCCCTTCTTATTTTTCTTCTTCTAGAACAAATACATGGGTTCCCCCCTTCCTTTCCTTCTTCTGGATAAAAACAGGGGCTCTGCCTCTTCTTATCTTTCTTCTTCTTCTGGAACAAAAATAGGAGCTCTACCCCTTATTTTCTTCTTCTAGTACAAAAATAGGGCTGAAGCCCCTTCTTCCTTTTCCTGGTACAAAAACATGGGCTCTGACCATTTTTCTTCTAGAACAAAAACAAGGGCTTTGCCCTTAAGTCTCCACCATTTTTTGATTGTTCTTTTATGTGCTTTCATTTTCAAAAGACAAGAATAGGGGCTCCACCCCATATTTTCCACGTTACAACCATTAATTTTGTCTTTTTACTTCTTTTCCTACAATAGAAAGAGGGGATCAACCCCCTTTTTCTATCCTTTTTTAGACCTTAAGTGATGCCTAGGCATGCGCCTAGGTGACTAAGCAACTAAGTGCTCCCTTGTTGCCTAGTTCACCTTGGCGCCTTGAAAACTATGCTTGCTAGTGAAGTGAGGTTGCCTTCTACAACAAATCTGATTTGCACTTGAAACTGAACAATGGCGGAAAGAGTTCTGTAGCTGTCCAGAAATCTGAAGATTAGTTTAATACTGTTGCAATTGTGCAATACAAGAAGCAAAACCAGATCTGAGGTCCCCAATCAGCCATTGTAGCCTGGTTCTAGATTAATGACAGGTGCAAGTTTAACATTCGATAGTGAAAGAACAAGCCCAAAAGAGGGGGCAAGCAACAATGAGGTAGGGAGAGAAGAGAGCTTTGCTTTGTTGACAACTCTAGAATAACCTCTTCACTAAATGGGGTTCCTAAAAAAAGTGAACTCGTTGAGCGATCAAATAGAACTATGGCCAAAACGTTATTAGACTAATAGGACAAAGTAAATGATGCTAGAATATAAATGAACAATAAATGTAAATAGCAATAACAATAAAAGTAAAGCAGTTACTCCAGTTAGTCTTGTTAGTGCAGTTAATAGGTTAGTCAAGTTAAAAATTAGTAATTGCACTAGTTGTCCTTGTATCTTACATAAGTAAAGGAAAAGAAAGAAAATAAAGTGCAAATCTACAAGATCTCATGGTTTCAAGTATTACAGTTTTGAGAAGAATAAACACAAAGAAAATGAAAAAAAAAGCACAAAGAAAATGAATTGCAAACTTGAAAAGAAAAGAAAAGAAACAAAAACAAGGGAACAATATTTTTTTAGAGGTTCAACCAACCATGCTTACGACCTCCACCTCAAGCAATCACTAACGTTTTTGCACCAACTGATTAGACTTCCCGATTGCCAACCAATCCTTTATAACCAACAAGGCTTCATAGGTGCTTACAATACTTGAACCAACTGGACTTACAAAGGTGCCAACACGACCCAAACCAGCAAGGCTTTCACGTGCATGCAATACCTACCTACTCAAAGATCTTCACTCATATATCACAGGAACTAGTTTACAACAAGGGGAACCTCTCATTAGGTAGATATAATAGTTTATAGCTCAAACTAACTCAGTTGCTAGAGTATTCACATATACTCAACTCAAGGAGGATGATCCCAATAGATGGGTGAGAAACAAACTCAGACTTTTCAACAAAGCTTACTCTAACACTGGTGAAGCTCAAGGATCTCCTCTAAAAGACTCTAACCCTAGCTTGCTCTCTATCTGAAACAACTATATACAATATGTATGTAAAATCCCTATTCAATTCTAGGTTAAAGTAGAGAAGAAGAAGAGAAAGAAGAAGAAGAGAAGAAGGAGAATAAGGGTTCGGCCAGATTAGGAAATCAGTCCACCTCTAGCCGACCCACTTGTATTTATCTCCAATAACATAGTTAAAAGAAAGACCATATTGTCCCCCATAAGTGATGGGACACATAACTTAAACTTAAATAAAATAGACATTTCACTCTCAAATAGATTAATCCAAATGACCAAAATACCCCTGATTTGTGTATTCTAACACTCCCCCTCAAGCTGGAGAGTATATGTTATATAGTCCCAACTTGTCACAAATATAATCTAATATGCCCCGAGACAATCCCTTTGTAAAGAGATTGCCCACTAATTTCTTGAGTTCACATGAGATGTAGTTATCACTCCACTTATCACTTTCTCTCTCACAAAGTGACAATCGACCTCAATATGCTTGGTTCTCTCATGGAAGACTGGGTTGGAAGAGATGTGAACAACAGTTTGGTTATCACAGTATATTCTCAGGGGTTTGTCAACCGAGAACCCTATCTCTTGTAGCAAGTTCTTCAACCATACTAGTTCACATGTGGTATGAGTCATAGCTCTGTACTCAGCTTCTGCACTACTCCTTGYCACCACTGTTTGTTTCTTGCTCTTCCAAGTTACAAGATTGCCACCAAGGAAGGTATTATACCCTGTAGTTGATCTCCTGCCTGATATAGAACCAGCCCATTTAGCATCTGTATGCCCTACTATTTCAAAAGTCCCTCCACTTTGGTATAGCAAACCACGACCTGGAGCACCCTTCAGGTACCTAACAATCCTTAAAACTGCTTCCCAATGAGGAATCCGAGGATGTTGCATAAAATGACTCACCATACTCACAGCAAATGATATATCTGGTCGGGTAATAGTCAGATAATTCAACTTTCCCACTAACCTCCTGTATCTTCCAAGATCATCAAACTCTTCACTTGCATCAACACTCAACTTGACATTAAGTTCCATAGGAGTCTCTGTTGGTTTAGCACCTAACAGTCCAGTTTCTTCAAGTAGGTCATGAACATATTTTCTTTGACATAAGTTAATTCCATGCCTTGACCTTGCAACTTCTATTCCCAGGAAGTACTTCAG